TCCCGATACATCATGGTATGAACTTTCACGAATATATAGTGAAGCTACCGTATATATATATAGGAAGAGAGAGAGACGTAGAGAGGTGTTCACGTTGTCATATGAACAGGAAATGTACTGTATGCATAAATATTAACCATTTTTTTAATAAAAGTAGAAACAAAAATCCATTAATAATGATAATTTCTGTTTAATTCATTATATTACTTAAATAATGTATACAAACTGTATTCATCTACAATAGAATATTTCTATAATAATGTAACTTCAATCTGTTATAACTATTAACATACAAAAAGACTAATATATATTGAAAGAAGAAGGTTATTTTCGATAAATTCTCTTTAGGTTCCTATAATTTCATATTATTCAAATTAATCATCCGAAAGATAATCAGGTTAAGGGTAAAGTACATGATGTAAAGTATGTGAATTTAGGATTGTTAAACAAAATAGAATAAAATTGTTCATGTTGATATGACTCAGACAGAATGTTAACTTGAATCAGCTTATATGTTAATCGAAAATGTTAAGATCCATGATCCGAACAACTATGGATCAGATAGGATGAGAGAAATAATAGTGAAATTACAATTCGATCAAACGTTTAATGGAAGACTAAATTGTGTGGGAAATTAGTAAGATTTAATACGGAGGGATGAATATGAATTGAATGAATCATTTATTGGGGAGATCAGTAATGATCTTTAACCAATAATAGTAATAATAATAATACAAGGATTTGTGAATAAAGACGACAGAGACAATTACAATTAACTAAGAAATGTAGCAGTCAAATTAGGTCGTTCAATAGCTAAGATCACTATTGATTAGTTGGCCTTGAGGTTGGCCAAGAGAAGCGAAGTGGTTGAAGATATTTCTTCTGTACGCATAGCTCCGGTTTCTTCATTCAGATGGCTACTGCTTCAGCCGTTTGAAGTTCTTTAAGCCTGACAAGCTTTAGCAAAAAATTACTGACCTTATAAATAATTGAAAAAGAATGGTTTATACTGGTACAATGACCAGTTTGTACTAAATGGACCAGTATAGAGCTGTTCACTTTATTCATCAAACGTTTATTTAGCCACGCTGGAAGGTGTTCACAAGCACGAAAATGTAAATTCCTAGAACGTCGACCAATATAACTCGCTCCACAGGAGCAGTCGAACTGATAAATGCAAAATGAGGTAGTCATTCCCGATAATTCATCTTTTAGCCTCGATGTCATCATTGGACGCGTCGAAAACATTGATCGCAGTTCTCCAGCATTAAAAGATACTACTTATTACTATTAATAATGAGTAAAGACAATTAATCATTGAAATTTAGTTACTTACGATTTTCTATTTCTTTTTCTTAAAATTACCTCATAAACATTTAATTCTAATATTTATTTCTTAAATAAAGCAAAACCCTATTCATATTAGTTGTTAATTACATTGACTATAATGGTTGTGGATCCCGCTCAGGGGATTCGTAGATGCGTACTGCTAAGGAGTCCCACAATAGGACGAAATGGCCATCCAGTGCTTTCAGGTTTTCAATGGTGATCTAACACCAATCGGTTCATGATCTCAATCAAAAAAAACTAAATTATTATTTATATTCCATAGAAAGGACACTATGACTCAGTATAACAACAGGAGAAAAAATAAAGAGAGATAAAATTAAATTTTTGTTTTCTTCTCATTTTAATTTCTGGTTACTTTCGCCTAAATTTTTCGTTGATTGACAGTTATTATATGTATGTATGTATGTATGCATGCATGTATGTAGTATCTATGTATGTATGTGTGTATCTGTGTGTGTATGTATGTGTATATATGCATGTGTGTCTAAGTTCTGGTGATTGTCCCCTATAGTGATTTATACTGTAGTGACAAAAAGTAAAAGGTTTTTTTTAAAAAAGTCTAAATAATTATGCAATACAAATAGGAATACACACACATACAACATACTTATATACATGTAATCAAGATTTAGGCATAAGCACACATCTACACATGTTCATCTCTCTATGCTTATATTGTAAATCAATGTACTTAAGTTATCCATGGAGATAAAGTATCCATTTATTGAAAATTATCAGGGAGTAATAATAATAATGTATGAATGTCTAAAATGAGGGATAAAGAATACAACTATTTACCACTTGTTAATTCATTTTTGTTGCTTCTGGTCATCAGAATTTTGATTCAAGAATATACTTCTAGTTAGCGTTTATTTTGGCGAGTTTGTTTTCTATGATATTGGGTAGCTAACCCTATGCCCAACCCCCCTCCTTTATTCGGGCTAGGGACAGGCAGTAGCCATAGAAGAGCCCCAGGTGAAGTTTAAGGATATAGTTTCATTTATTAGTTTTATTCACTGCAATATTCTTCTTCCAATTTTCCTATTCTTTATAGCTAGTTTTATTTATAGCGTCTTTTTAGTATAGAATATTATTATTATTATGTCTGTATCTAAATATTTTAGGATTCCATAAAGAAAAAAAGACAAGATATCACATGAAACAGAAACAAAGCATTGTAATTATAAGCAAAGATGGTTAATGACTAGTAGTGGAATCCAGTTGTACGCGTGTTTCGTCCTATTTGTGATTCGTCAGCTGGATGTACCTGCATCCTAAAGATGTTATTCACTCTGGGACTGTAACTCAGTACTGTTCCTACGTCCTGAATTCCACTATCTATCTTTGCTTATAATGCTTGTGAAATAAGACAATATCAAGGTAATTCGCACAGTATGCACATATGTCAAAAAGAGACTGATCAATGGCAGTCCTGACCATCAATAAGACTCAAGTAAACAATACCAAAGCATCGTCATGTTGTAAACCTACTAAGTATTGGTAACAATTTTGATCTTGGATATGTTTTTCTAAAGAAGGTCGAATTGGATTGATAATAGCGAGATTTTTACAACCATAATTTTCTTTTTTAGAATATTGAAGTTTAAAACTTTTAACCACTTTTTACACCGAGTAAATGATATGTTTTAATTAGCGAGGTATTTTTTTCCCAACCGTCTCAATATTCCAATGATCCGTTTTTGTGTTGTTTGACTACTGAGTAGTAAATACTGTCATATTTGATTAATACTCATACCACAGAACAAATTCTGTCAATTAAGTTGTTTAAAAACTAATTATATTGGGGACTCAAGATCATGTGTACTGTCTTTATGTTATATGCTTGATGGGGTTAGTAAATACCCCAGTATCTAGACTTTGAACAATTTTGCTCGTTATGTGTCTGAAGTTTTTAGTAGATTGATGCTTAACATACGAATCCAACACGCGTTCATTATTGCCTTACAAGGACTGAAAATGAGTCGTTCATACTCCAATTGGTCACTGAACAGTGAACAGTATCATATCTATCAGAATTCTATAGATCAAGTTCATTCCTTTAGTATCACAAACAAATCTGAATAGTGATATCCAACATGTAAAGTGGATCCTTGGCTTCCAACCACGTGGTACTTTTAATAAGCTTCATCTAAATAGTTAAATCTAATAAGTTTCTAATCTATATATTAACTCAATACGATAAATCTGAATGTGAGACTAGAATGGCAGATGATATTTTTTTATCTTCATCTATTTTCTGACAAAATCAGGAACTTCTACGTCATAACTTGCGTTCAGATTGATGAAATAGGAAGCTATTCACGGTAAATCTAACAGTGTATAGTATCATTCTAAAAAATGGTTATAAGAACCAAAGTGACTTCTAAACTTTGTAATCATAAAAACATTTTTCATGATATTTTTAAACCTTTATATTTACACTTTAGGAAGAATTTTTCAAAATATTCCATATTTTTCACTAAGAATCGTCTAGTATATTTAAGCATTTAATACTGAGTAAGCAGTGATTATGTTTGTTTGAAATAAGCCTGTTTTAGGTGTTTATTTAATAATAATTTCAAGCTAGTGATTTAGTTGGCTTTCAACCAATCTAATGTAGAATTGAACGGCCCTTTACCTATTTCCGTATAAAAAGATAGGTAGTGTTACTGAGTCGATCTTTCTCGGGTTTTGAACAGAGGTTCGGCATCGTGTGTTCGGGCACAGAGACGATCATCCATTTGGTGTCACCATCTTGAACCATCGATTTCGGTGGCTTGGACATGTTCTACGAACGCCATCCCAGAGAATTCCACGTCGTGCATTATTTGCCGACGCTGAGACTGGTTGGAAAAAGCAGAGAGGTGGTCAGTGTATGACATGGCGTCGTGGTATGAAAGAAAGCTGCAAAGGACTAGCTTCCATTGGTTCTTCTCAACTTCCTAGCTGGGGTCCGAGAGATGGTGTAACCCAGTGGCTAGAGACGTTATCAGATACGGCTCAGAGTAGAATCCAGTGTCAATTCAGCTGTAACCTTTTACTTTCCTCATAAAAAGTGGCTGTAACTTCCTTAAATGAATGGATTATTTCTGGTTGTACCTTTTCGTTTCCCTCGTTATTATTATTACACTAACATACACTAATCTGTGGTCGTTATTGTTCTTCTTCTTCTCCTTTTATTTTCTTATACTCACCTTACCTTCTTCGTCTCTTCCCATTCTCACTGTTTTGTGTGGAGCATATATATCTGGTGCTCCCTTGTACCAATGTTTATGTGTATCACCACATGATTTCAAAATTTATCGCCAGGTTCGATCAAATAATAAAAAGAGGTGTGGTGTCGGTGTAGCTACCTTTGTAAACGCGAACTGTGATGTCGATCTACTTCTGAGTGTTTCAAGTTTTCAAATAACTTTATCCAGTTCAATCTTTCATCATAGCTAAAGCATAACACTACAAAAAGTGTGAGACTGTAAAGTTACTATAAAATATTTTATGATTTTCGGTGATTCTCTATGATAATGATGATGCCTTTATTATTCATAAGAGACTCTTTTTATGCTTTCAGAACGTATTTCTATCAAAGAATTAATATTTCTAATTTCTTCCCATTGTTATTATTTGTTTGTTTGTTTGTTTCTTTCTTTCAGGCTCATCAATTCTATCCATTAGTTCAAATTAATTGTTCTAAAGATTTACGATTTTTATTATGTTCTATTTATACACCAATTTGTATCAAAGGTTATCCACATTTTTTACCACCATGTCGTTCTATATGTGAACGTGTTAAAGCTGGTTGTTCACCAATTATGGAACATTATGAATTTCCATGGCCAGAACGTATGAATTGTGAACAATTTCCAGAATATAATAATCCTGATGGTATATTATGTATGGAACGTAATTTAACACATGAAGAACAATTAGAATTTCAATCAATCAATATAAAAAATAATGAACAATATAAATCAATAAATCAATCATCAATAAATCAATTAAGTGAATTATCAAATAATTTACATATAACATCACAATTACAAATAATAAATACAAATGATCAAATGAAACCAATTACATTAGAAGAGATTGAATTCAACAATCAATTTAATGAAGAGGCTAGTTATTTATTATTTGAAAAAGCAATACAAAATGATGATATACATAAATTAAAAATGACATTCCCTAATTTACATTTAAAATGTACATGTGATTGTAGACCACCATTAATAAATATTAAAAATTCAGAAATTAATAATAATGCAAAAGTAAGAATTTTATTTATTTTATTTTTTGTTCTTTTATTCATTTTTGAGAGTAAATCATATCACTAGTGACTAGTTTCGTGAGGGAATTCTCGGAGTTCCAGTGTGAAGTCTTGACCAGTGGAGCTAATCTATATCGGGTAGAGAAATGTATCTACTTCGTTACAATGAAAGATGGTCACACAATTTCATGGGTTGGTTGAAGTTAGATATTAACACCATGGAATGCCAGCTTAGCGGTTCAGTAGGTTAAGCGTTCGCACGCGAGACTGAAGGCCCTGAGTTCGAATCCCGTGAGTGGGATTGTGGATGTGCAATGCTGAGGAGTCACACAATGGGACGAAATAGCCGTCCAGTGCTTCCAGGTTCCCAATGATGGCCTAAAATCAATCTGTTCATGATCTCAATTTAAAATAAATGATTGTTTGGAAAGTGAATTTCAGTTCATCTTAGTTGCACAATACATTTCGAACAATCTGTTCACATATCGTATAGTTGTTAGGAATCATTGGATGCGCACTGTTGAAGAGTTCCACAGTAGGACAGAACGGTTGTCCATCGCATCCAGGTTTTCTATGGTGGTCTAGATTCAATTGACTCATGAGTCCAACTATTAAAACTGCCATAATATCCACAAAATCCATCTCTGATTATAATCATCATATGCTCACTAATGACTGGCTTCAAGAGGTATTTCCTGGAGTTCTAGTGAGAAGCCGTAACCAGTGGAGTCCGACCACGTCTATTGTGAGATAGTTCTGATAACCTTCTTATTACACTATCGAAATTTATCTAAGAGACTAATTGCTTAAATTATCTTAGTTGATCTGGTGCCAGATTATTTATTTCGGTCAATTCAATAGTTTAAAGAAAGCCAACCATTCATATATGTCCACATAGATAGTTTTCAAAAATTCTGATGAAAAGTTATAATTGTTGAAATTAGTCAAATCAAGGATCATTGAGCAATTCAATGGTGATTTTGGACTTTAATTTACATAGGATATTGCACAATTATAAAGCAGTAACCATCTCAGTGTCGATATGATTAAAATTCACTGATTACAGTTTTTCATTAGAACTTTAGGAATTGTGTTTTGAAACTAATCACCAGTTAATACATAGTTACTGTTAGTACAGAAATTTTGTGGGCATTGTTGAATTTTGTAGCTCACCTTATATTACTGACTGAAGCTAGATAATCATCATAAACTAGAGAATATCAATGGTGGGTAATTACTTCTTAACCAATATAGTTGAAGTCTGTACTGTAACAAATCACTAATGTCTCTATGATGCATCTTGTGAGGTCTCAGAGGGTCATTTTAAAGTGATCTCAGAGTTTACCATAACACGGTAATTCTCCACATAGATCGTTTAAACCCAGTGATCTAATTGTAACGTAATCATCGGGAGGCCTCTGGATTGTTTAACCGACTCCCAATAGAGTTATACGCAAAAAACGATATGCTTATATCAAACAGTTGTTCATTGTCCCTTGATTTTCATTGGTATTGTTGTGACGGGCGGTGTCCAAAATCTGATACTGATACACGGTGTGCTACACGCTAACCTTCCAAATTGACTATCATAAGTGAGAACACAAGGGTGAGCGAGAAATTGTATCGAGCTACCGAATAAAATGCACAAATACTCATTCATATATACATCACTCTAAACCTTAGGAAATTGGTCTATTTCTTAGCCAATGAAATTCACTTGTCCCTTCAGTCACTTCTGACCGCCATCGATTGACCTTCACACTGGGCTACTTCTGGTTGGTTCTCCATATCAGGTACCTCAGTTTATATTAACCTTTGAATTGTACTGTCTTTTCATTAAGTTAACGATTAAAAGTTACCTTAATGATGAACATGAATGCACTCAAAAAGAATAAATATTTCCAAATAATTCCATTTCATTTCTTGAATACCTTCATTACTGGCTATCAATTTATAAGTTCTGTTCCCTTAAATTAGATTACATAACTAACCATATGTAATTGTATAATTTAAGGAAATCACCGTATTCAGAGATAAATAAATATTTATGGTCGGATTGGGATTTGTAGAGATTGTAGTAATTTTAATAATTGAATTCATGGGTTGATGTAAGCTAGACCACCATTGGAAACCTGGAAGAACTAGACGAACGTTTCGTCCTAGTATGAGACTCCTCATAAATTCGTATCCACAATCTCACACATGGAACTCAAGCCTAGAACATTCGTTCTCATGCACGAACACTTATTCTCTGCACCTGATGGTATTAATGTCTAACTTCCATCGATCCATGAATGACTGCGCAATCATTCATTATCTAAGGTAGATACCAATCTCTACCCAACACAGGTTGAGTTCCACTGATGATGTACATACATAAATGACAAAAATATATAAAGCTAGACCACCATGGAAAAACTGGGAGCACTGGACGGCCGTTTCGTCCTAGCATGGGCTCCTCAGCAGTGCGCATCCACGATCCCACACCCCACGAGATCCGAACCCAGGACCTATCAGTCTCGCGAGCGCGTGCTCATCATCTAGACCACTGAGTTGGTTGACATCTAACGGTGTTAATGTCTAAGTTAAACCAATACACGAAATTGTGCGACACACCCACCATTGTCATCAATGAGTTACTATCTCACAACAGATGCGGTCGAACTCCACTGGTAACGGCCTCTCACTAGAACTCCAGGAGTATCTCCTGAAGTCAGTCACTAGTGAATAAATGGTTATTATCAGAAGGGGTTTTGTGGAGAATTTAGAAATTTCACAGATTGAAATCTCCACAAACCCCTTCTGATAAAAATAAATGAATTTATTTATTTATCTGACTAACCAATAATTACATGAGTATTTAACTAGACAAAGTTTGCTTTTTCCATTTATATTATTATGTAATAAACTAACATAATGAAATACATCTGAAAACATGTAACATCAAAACAACATTACATAATACCATTGATAATTAAACACTATAGGTGGCCATTCAAAAACATGAATAACAATACAGTAAATTAAGACGATTCTAGAAAAATGAATGAATAATTATTGTTAATCATAATATTGTGTAGGTTGTGTTTGTGTGTGTGTGTGTGTAGGCCCACATCTACTTGTACATGTACACATGTTTGGTCATATGAATAATGGATAAGTTCCCGAATTTATTTGTTAACATACAATTACTGATTGTTTTGTCGTTCAAGGAAGTTGAATATAGAAAAAATAACCCATTGTTCAATGGTGTCTGGAATATAAAATTACAAAGATACATTAATGATTGATTGATTAATTGATAACAATCATTGTACTATTTGTTGCATTGAACATTTAGTAAGTTGTCTATGTTAATATGATGATTATTTCATTCATACTAATTTTTGTTAAAACTCCGCCTGGAGTAACAAGCATAAGTAAGTAGGTAAGTAAGTAAGTAAGTAAGTAAGTAAGTAAGTAAGTAAGTGAGTGAGTAAGTAAGTGTGTAAGTAAGTAAGTAAGTGAGTAAGTAAGTAAGTAAGTAGGTAGGTAGGTAAGTAAGTAAGTAAGTAGGTAAGTAAGTAAGTAAGTAAGTAATTAGGTAAGTGAGTAAGTGAGTAAGTAAGTAGGTAATTAAGTAAGTAAGTAAGTAAGTAAGTGAGTAAGTAAGTAAGTAAGTAAGTAGGTAAGTAAGTAAGTAAGTAGGTAGGTAGGGAAGTAAGTAAGTAAGTAAGTAGGTAAGTAAGTAAGTAGGTAGGTAGGGAAGTAAGTAGGTAAGTAAGTAAGTAAGTAATTAGGTAAGTGAGTAAGTAAGTAAGTAAGTAAGTAGGTAGGTAGGGAAGTAAGTAAGTAAGTAGGTAAGTAAGTAAGTAAGTAGGTAAGTAAGTAAGTAAGTGAGTAAGTAAGTAAGTAAGTAGGCAAGTAAGTAAGTAGGTAGGTAGGTAAGTAAGTAGGTAAGTAAGTAAGTGAGTAAGTAAGTAAGTAAGTTTTTGTTTAAATTCTTTGTTTCAGTGTAATATTACATAAAGTTAAATTGAATAACAATGTCCATTTGAATTATGAATAAAATTTGTTGATTTAAGTAGTATTATGATTCAAATAGTCGCTTAGTATTTATAAATTTCACTTTTATATATTTACTAATATTGTGAAACGCATGAAAGTCATGAATTTATTGTGAATAAACATGTCAACTATTCTATATCGGTATAGAGAGATTATGAAGATTGTTGGATTTTATAGTTTTACTCTAAAGACTGACCTTAGCTAGATATTCGATGGAAACTAGGAAGAGCTAATACAACTGTTTGTAAATATAATTATGGATAGATTCTATTTACTTGTGCCAAACTAGAAGCAAACAGCTATATATTGATTATCTACCTCTAGTTACTCCGTAATGTAAAATTACGATGTTTCATAGGAGTATCATCTTTAAACTTATGGCAATTTTTATCATTAAAATCAAGAACTGATCTAAAATAGCACAACATTGAGAACGTAAATGAGTTAGACAGTCGTTTTTATCCTAAGACAGAACTCCTTGATAGTGCGCACCCACGACCCCACATGGAGGAATCAGACATAGTACCTACAGTCTCTCGTGAGAACGCCTAATGTTAAGATGTTTGAACTGGTATCCAATGGTTTCAATGCCCGGAGGTTAGGAGCTCATGCTCGAGATTGAAGTAAGTCAGTCCAATTTCTGCGTACGGGGTCGTGGATGCGCACTTCTGAAGAGTTCCATCTCAGGATAAAACAGATGTCTAGTTTTTTTACGCTTTCATTATTGTGTTAGTTAACAACAGCTTTCGATTTCAACGATGAAAATACAAAAAAATTTTGCGAAACACTGATACTAATCGTAATCATTTACTGACTAGAATAATAAAAAAACAATCAAAAATAGAATGCAACCTACAATGAACGTTCAGAACTTCTTTTGAATTTATCTCAGAAAAACAACCAACCAACCAACGTGTTCTTCTGGTCGAATTTAATAATATACACTTGTTAGGTTTAACTTTATTTTTAAGTAAACAGTTGAATTTAAATTCACTTGGTATTGTTTTACTTAAATCTTCTCATTGATGTTGAGCATTATAATTGATCAGTCTCTTATTCCCATATGTGAATACTGTGCGTATTACCTCGATATTGCCCTAATTCGCAAACATTATAATCAATGATGGAAAGTGGCTAGCAGTGGAATCCAGTTTCACGCGCATCTCGTCCTATTTGAGACACATCAGCTGAATGTACATGAATATCAGGGTTGATGTTCATTCGGGGACTCGAACCCAGTACCGTTCGCTTCAAACGTCATCGCGTTATCCACTTAGCTAATGGTCTCATAGCGTTGAAGAACTAAAGTTAAGTATATATTATCGTAACTAGGGATTATTCCTGAAACTTAGAAATTGTAAAGAGTTGAGTAAAGTTGAAATATTTTTAGTATACTTCGAACTCAAAAAAAACTTGTAGGTCAAGTAAGTGCTTTTAATAGTGTTATTTTCATTAAACAAGATAATTTAAGTGCCAAGGTTTAATTGTTGCTATGACGAAACTCATCGGAGCTTACTTCAGGGAAAAATGATCCTATCACTGAGAAAGATTTAAATTATGATGATAACGTTTATCAAATTTCACTGTGCCAACTATTCCTTATCCATCTATTTTAAATGATTTATGTATTCCGCGAATAACTTACTCATACACTACCGAAAACACTTTAGAATTATAAGTCAGCCAATCAGTCACAATATAGGACTAGGCTCATATATGCATCAGTTCAAGTTGCCATATCTCATTAGCACAACATGATGAGCACCAAATTTATAGAAGTAGTCTTTTCAGTGGTAGTAATGTATAAAAGAAAGATCGTGTATAAGGATATAATACAGGAGGAAAGAATTAGTTGGTAGAAAGAAAGAGATAAAGCAATTTTAATCTCACGGTTTATGGGCAGACAAAGAGTGTATACAAACTAACTCCATTGTGATTGATTCTGGGCCATGTCACACAAAGTTCACAAACATTGATTACGACAGACACACGGATCCCAACCAAGTAGTCTGCATCTACCAACATGATTCATACTAAAAGTTAGTGACTTCAAGCACTGATGTCATGTTTTGGTTGGGCTGCCCCTTATTTTCTTCCAACCGTCTCCAACACAAGTCAGCATCGCGCGTCGTGGTAATCAGTGTTCAGGCATACATAATACGTGGACCAACCATCTCAGTCGATGAAGATTTACAACCTCATCAACTGAATTACTATTATTCCCTAATACCCCTCGTCTAACCTCACTATTACTTATCCGATGATCCCAGAAGATGCCAGCAATATTTCTAAGACATTTGTGAAGAATACTTAAATGTTAAAATAGATCTCATCATGATTTGACACACGTTATCATTTCGAGTTCAATTAATGAATTGTTCAATACTTCATTACCATATGTTTTAAGTTTCACAATGTATATTAGGTACCATTCGGCTAATTATCAGAAATTCAACAATCCTTACTTTTCATTAGTATAGGTTTGTGGAGATGATTAAATTTTCGATTGAGATCATGAACCGATTGATTTTTAAACTACTATTAAAAAACCTGGAAGCACTAGACAGCTGATTCGTCCTATTGCGAGTCTCTTCAGCAGTGTGCATCGACGATACCACTCACGGGATTCGTACCCAAGGCCTTCAGTTTCGTGCACTTATTTAATATGAAACTTTTCTCATTCTATTCAAATCAAACTCATTTAAAAAAAAATAATAATATTCTCTTTTCTTTATTCTATAAATTTTTTTAGACAACCGTAGCTGATATTAAAGATTGTTCAATGCCATGTTATACACCATATTATACATTTGATTCATCCTATAATTTTACAACATTTTGGCTTGGTATATGGTCAACATTATGTGCTATTTCAACAATGATTACAATATTTACATTTATTACAGATTCATATCGTTTTCAATATCCTGAATTACCATTAATTTATTTATCGGCATGTTATTTTATGATATCTATGGGTTATTTAATTCGTGTATTTATGGGACATCAAGCTATAGCTTGTGATAGTTTACCATATGAATATGAAAATATACAATCTACTATAAATAGTAATAATAATAATAATAATTGGTTTGATTACAATCCACCTAATGTAACACATTTACCAAATACATTAACAACAATCACCAAGGCAACATTAACAACGGTAACAATGAAAACAACAAATCAATTAATACGTTCAAAAAATTTTACGATATGCATTAACTGGTAGAGTTAGTTGTGCAGTTGTATTTTTATTAATTTATTTTTTTAGTATGGCAGCTTCAATTTGGTGGGTTGTATTAGCACTTACATGGTTACTTGCTGCAGGTTTAAAATGGGGCAGTGAAGCAATATCAAAATATTCTCAGGTAAAAGAAAACAGTATTTTAACAGTGTATTTTATTCTTTACAATGTTCAATTATGAGAAAAAGTACTGATATATATATATTCACTTGGTGTTATCGCCTTGTAACTGCCCATCGTAATTTAGGACTGTAATTGATCAGTCTCTTGTTGGTAAATGTGCATATTGTGCGGACTGCTTTGATATTTCCTGAAGTCACAAGCTTTATAAGTAAAGATGGATAGTGACTAGCAGTGGAATATAGGTTAACTCGCGTTTCGTCCTATTTGGGACTCGTCAGCTGGATGTATCTGCATCATGGAGTTGATGGTCACTCTTGAACACGGACTCAGTACCGTTCGCTGCAAACGCTATCATTTCAGTGTGGTCATCAACTCTGACGAGTCTCAGATAGGACAAAACGCAAGTTCTGGATTCCAATGCTAGCCACTATCCATCTTTGCTTATAAATACTGATATATATATATATACATATATATATCGAGAGAGAGAGAGGTTGAATAAGTTGGTGGCAATGAGAACTCAGTAGGTCACTGGATAACTCGTTAATCGTTGTAGTGAAGGGTATTTTACTAGAGTCTTAGTGTGAATATCAATATTAAAACCCAGGTACATTTAACTGACGAATTCAAAATAAGACGAAATACGTGTCCTGAACTCCAGTGTTAGTCGCATGCCACATATAGTTAATATATTTAATTGCTATTCATGTAGATTATTTCAAGCAGACTATTTCCTCCTCCTCCTCATCCTCTTCCTCTTAAGAATGTAATTTCATTATGAACAACCACCAACCATCTGACAACAAATTATAGAGTTTTTAAAGTATTATAGAGTATAATAATAGTCTTTCTTAAGAATATAGGAAAATGCAAAGAAGTTTAAGCTAAACCCATTATATCAGAATAACAACTAAAAGGAATGTTCCTTTTGACTATTAAGGTTAACTACTAAGATACTTTTTAAATGTCAAACTCAAGGTTTCAGGAATAGGATAAATGTCCTTGAATTTAAAGTCCATCTGCTTTATAATGTCCAATATGTTTACTGTTGTAGTGAACAAGAACACCAGTGGGAAACAATCGAATGTATTTAACACAAAATTACAGGACATGTTAATAAAATCTAACAATCATAGAGTAAATACTTAATTTGCAAAATGTCCACCAATTGTCTCAAAATGACTCCGACTTCATTGTTCTTGCATTTTCATACAAATTGCATTCTGTTTCCATTCTTTACTGTTCGATCCTCTTGTTTCTCTACTACCAGACATTCTATTCACGACTAACATCATCTACTACTTATGTCAATATAAGTAGTACACACATTATCATTTTTCATTTATTTATTAAGTAAAAACTATATGTCAGAGTACAATTTTCACTGAAGATTACATTTCAAACTATAAATTTCATCTGTAAAGTTGAGCTATGCTACAGTAACGTATTCACAAAAGATATATGTAAATATCTTTAGATGATCATATTGAAATCTTCAATGGAAACTGTTCTCATATATATCCATTAGTCACCCACTAAATAAATGGAAAAAAATGTTGAAACAAGCTAGACATTAAACTTTTTATTAAATATTAGAAAAAAGACGGTTATTTTCTGTTGCGGACGTCAGATCCCCAGAACTCACTTGAAAAAGTTCCTAATTTTGTAATTTTATTCAGAAAATTTGAATTTCTTTGTTTTCGCTCCAAAAGCGCTCTTGTCACCATGTCATATTTCCCACTGGGCAATGTCTTAAATGCTATTGGTCCGTCGCGTCTTTTAGTATGCTATTTGGTAACTCTGCTCAAGGACGGTTTTGTACTGTATATATACGTTTTGAATTGTGTTTGATGTTATCGCTCGTTTCTATCTGTTTACAGAATATACTTCCCATTCCAAGCTTGGACTTATACATCTCGTTAGCAGGGCTGGGACGTATCAATGGCTAGCTTACTGGTCTTTGGTCACCGAGTCTTGTTTCTTGTTCGCCGATTAAGTGAACTCGTGATAGCCTCAACTGTAGGATTTTCACATTGATTATGCTATTTAATAATATTTCTTCTATATCTTAGTAAAAATCGGTAAGACTATAATTTATGAACAAACTAATCAGATATAAGTTAGCAAGTCTCGGATTTCAGCGCGAAATTTATGATAATAACCTCCAATCTAATTCCTTACCTTAATCATCAATTATAAATCATAATTCTAATCCATAACACTAATTTATAATCCCTATTCGGTTCTAGTTATTTGATGGACACTCTGAAAGTCAGTTTAATATCACTTAGATTTCGTCCATAAATTTATAATCTCATCAAGAAATCTTACAAAATTACCAATTACTATTTCTTTTTTTTTGTACTTTTTTTAAATTTAGGTTTTTCATTTTATTGCATGGTCATTACCAGCAAGTCAAACAGCATTAGCATTATTATTATCTATTGTAGAAGGTGATCCAATTAGTGGTTTATGTACAATACAATCAAATAAATCAATCACTTATATATTATTTATATTTGCACCATTATTAATTTATTTAATTATTGGTATTATATTAATGATAATTGGATTTATTGCATTATTTCATATACGTGGTACAATTAAATTACAAAGACCCCGTCTCATAGAAACACAAAAATTAGATAAATTAATTATTCGTATTGGTATATTTGGTATGTTATATACTATACCAAATTTGATTATTTTATTCTCTATTGGTTATGAATTACGTCATACATATTTATGGCAATTAGGTATTGCATGTCATTGTCATTATGATATTGGTCAATATCATCAAATCAATAATAATAATCAAGAAGAAGAAAACGGAGAATTAGAACCAATTTTACCAATGGCATTACCAGTATGGAATTCACCAAAACCAGAATATACTATAATTATGTTAAAACATTTTATGAATTTAATGATTGGTATCATATCGGGATTTTGGATATGGTCTAATAAAACAATTCAATCATGGAAACAATTTTGTTTACATAAATTATGTTTATTTCAATTAAATAAACATAAAAGTAATAGTAATGGTTTATTAATTAATCCAACTCATCATAATATAGATTATGATAGATTACATAAAAAATATATGAAACAATCAATACATAATCCATCAATTAAATCAATACAATCGATGATACATAATAAATCAATACATCATTCAATAAATCAATATCCTATATTTATTGATAATAATGAACATTGTAATACAATGGTAATGACTACTAATAGTAGTATTACAATCACTACTACGAATACTATTGTTACTACTACTACTACTACTAATACATCGAGACAACATAATATTACATCTTATGATTTAATGAATAATGGAATATTATCAAATATAAATTCATTAGTTACATTAAGTACACCATCTACACCATTTTCTACACATCCATATGATATACCGAATCATCATGATATACATTATAAACCATCATTCAATGCATATTATTCTATAGATGGTAGTACAATATCACAACAATATGGTGATGTAAATTCTTATCATACTAATAATAGTTTTAGTAATAGTAATAGTAATAATAATAATAATAGTAATATAGACAATAAATGCATGATAACGAATACAAAAAGTTATGTAACACAATTATCTGGTAATTCAATGAATCCTAGTTTTTCTACATTAAGTAGTAGTTTGAATAGTCCACACAAATCTTCAGTATCTCATTTAAATAATAATAATAATAATAATTTAAATCATGGTAATAACAATAATTCCATAAGTACGGGAATTTCAAGTAGTGGAATTAGTAGTTCACATATAAATGATGGTTTAACAAGAACTGCATCAATATTTATTGGATCTGAATTAAATTCTAATTCGATATCACCTAAATTTATTGATTATTATTTTAATGGTGAACGAAGAAATCGTGAATTGATTGGATCACAATTAACAACAACAACAACAACAACAACTGCAACAATAACGACAACAACAACTACTACTACTGCTACAACTGTACTCTCAATGATCAAGTATGATCGTAATATTGATGAGAATAATTTAAGACGAAATAATCATTCTGTTTTTGTTAATAATCAATTTGTATCGAATATGATGAATGAAAATCATAATAAGTAAGCTAATGTTAAATTTATTCTATGATTGTTTTTAGTAGTCTTATTCAATAAATAGAAAATTTTATATGTAGATTATTATTATGGAATGAAACTGGTTAGTTATTATGATAATCTCACTGGTTGAAATCATGGGTCAATTGAAGCTAGACCACCATGGAAGACCTGGAAGCACTGAAAGGCCGTTTCGTCCGTACACACCGCCCGTCGCTACTACCGATTGAATGATTTAGTGAGGTCGTTGGATTGGTGTCGTTGTAGTGGCGTTGCCGCTCGACTGATGCTGAGAAGATGACCTAATTTGACTATTTAGAGGAAGTAAAAGTCGTAACAAGGTTTCCGTAGGTGAACCTGCGGAAGGATCATTATCATAACCCAAAAATATATAATGATGCATGCACCTGGCTTCTTGCTGGGCTGTATGTACCCTGGCCTGGTGGTTATTACCCTAGGCTCCAGTGGTTAAATATGGCATGCACCTGGCTTCGTGCTGGACTGCATGTACCCTGGCTTGGTGGTTATTACCCTAGGCTCCAGTGGTTAATATGGTTAGTATGGGAATCCTCAGCAGTGCGCATCCACGATCTCGCCCCCCACGAGACTCAAACCCAGGACTTATCAGTCTCGCGCCAGGCGCTTAACCAACTAGACCACTGAGCCGGTATCCCATGGTGTTAATATCTAACTTCAACCAATCCAAGAAGTTGCGCCCATACTAGGACGAAACGGCCGTCCAGTGCTTCCAGGTTTTCCATGGTGGTCTAGCTTCAATTAACTCATGATCTCAACCAGTGAAATTTCTAAAAATCTCCACAAAACCCATTCTGATAATTATGATAATCATTTATTAACTATATGCCTATTAGTAACTAATTTTATCGAATGAATTCCGATATTTTATCGAGAAGCTTTAACCAATAAAATTCAATCATGTTGGATATGAGGCAATTACTCGAGAAAAAACATATTGAAAGCTGATTGTTCAACTGGTGTAAACTGATTGTCGTTATGAATGTAGACCATTGAATATTGAATCAATAGTTTAAATGTTAAATACTCGTCAGGAAATCTAAACATTATGGATTTGATCCTTAATGAAGTAATGGATACATACTAGGGCAAAATAGCCATGCCAAGGCTTAGTGGCTTTTATTCTTTCACTAACTAATATCAGTTGGTGATCTGAACTCTAAAGCTTACTACTCGCTACAAACCACTTACATTATCAGTGTTATTATAGAAGGATAAAACAACTTTCGAGTTGTATAATTTCAGGTCTATAGTTAATATGAAGTGCGAACAAATTACATTTTTTTCTTCCCACACACATGTTACTTGTAGCTTATGGTTTTATTAATATGTAGGATTTTAAGTATGGATTGTATGCAGTTCGATAAACATTGAACCAAACTAATTTTCTAATGAACCGTTCGTAAATAGAGTTTAATATCAATGACGATAGCAACTTGTTATTAATTCGTAATAGTGCTAGTGTCTAACATCAACAAATCCACTAAATTGAGCGACCATCTTTTATTGTACTGAAGTAGATACCTGTTTCCACCCGACACGGATTAGCTCCACTGGTCACGGCTTCTCACTAGAACTCCAAGAATTCCCTAACGAAGCTAGTCACTAGTGAGCACAAATAATTTACTTATGCTTCGTGGATTGGTTGATGTTAGACATTAACACAATTGGATGCCGGCTCAGTGGTTCAGTAGGATAGGCGTTCACGCGCGAGACCGAAGGCCCTGGGTCCGAGTCCAGCGAGCGGGATCGTGGATGCGTACTGGTGAGTAGTCCCACAATAGGACGGAACGGCCATCCAGTGCTCTCAGGTTTCCAACGGTAGTCTAACATCAATCTGTTCGTGATCTCAATCGAAAACTTGGTGATCTCCACAACCCCTATACTGGTAATTCGCAATAGTTATCAATTCTATGTATATTTAGTATCTAGATGGCATTAAAAATTCATGAAGCTCGAATTTTCTTATTGACTTATTTACTGAGTCCACAAAAGTCACCAATATGCTCAGCAGTTATGAATAACAATAAAATTTAACTTTCTTAATCAACTATCACTGACTACATTTTAACAGTGTTAGATATATGAGTACAAATTGTGGAAAAAGATCACTCTATTAGCATTTCTTTTTCAGTGTACAGTAATCATGAAGGATTAATGTTTAAAAAAATACCAAATTAAATTAATTTATCAGAAGGGGCTTTTGTGGAGATTTTGGTAATTTTATAGTTGAATTCATATGTCATTTGAAGCTAGACCACCATCAAAAACCTGGGAGCACTGAACGGTCGTTTCGTCCTAGTATGGGACTCCCCAGCAGTGCACACACGATCCGGCCCCGCGAGATTCGAACCCAAAACCTGCAGATCTCTCATGCGAACGCTTAACCTCTAGACTACTGAGCCGGCATTCAACGAGTGTAAGGTCTAATGATACTACCATTCGATTGCTCAAACCATGATAGAAAGATTGGGATTCGACTCTAGGACTTAATAGTTACAACAACTACTAATTAGCGGCTTTTTTCACATTTTACTAATTCCTGTAGCTAAAAATAAGTTGAGGATTTTATCTTCCTCTTCAAAAAAATAATTCACTTGAATATAATCATAGCTAAGCTGAACAGAAATTTGTTAGTAAAGAACTGTTCATTTTTAATTAAAATGCAAAGATACTATAAATTATGAAAATATAAAGTGAATTTACATTACAGACAGTACAGACGACTATGCTGAAGATCAAATTCAAGACTGATATTCCCATAACTAGGTGTAAACAGCTAAGATGTCCCATACTAAAACGAAACAATTATTCAATAGATAGATAATTCTCACTTAAACAATGAAAACATGAAGTTCAGCGAAGGGATCTATTTTCAACGAATTTATTATCCAGCTGTACAATCATATATATATATATATGAAAACGTTTTGTTAAAGTACTAGTTCCGTGAGGAAATATGAACAAGGAATAACCTAGATGATGTAATAGAATGATTACAACACCAGATTACTTAATATGAGTAATAACAATAGACTAAGTAGGTTAGTAATGAATTATAACATGAATGTAGTAAGATGATTAAAATGTTTTTGTTGTAATAACTGTATGTAATTAAAGGTAATAGAGGTGCAAAATAAATGACTTGATATCATGAGCCACTATGAGAAGGAATCTGGTTGTTCCGTTCCAAAGAAAAAATCTTTATATAAGTTCGAAACTTAAAGGTGATCGAACATCTATTGTAATCAGAAATTGTTTAACGACAGCGATAAAAAAACATTTAATGCGGCAAAACTGCGAACAACGTTCACAAGTAGGAACTTGTTTTCTGTGTCCATAAAAGATAAGTTTCCCCGTCTGGTCGCCTCTATATGCATCTACCAGTTCACCTGCTCTTGTGGAGTAAGGTATATTGGCCGAAGCCTGCTTTCGCCTTCAACTCGGATACTGGAACATGTCCTAGTTTGGTTCTACTAGGTTGAGAGGAAAGCAGTTAGGAGTTCTATACTTGAACATCCAATCGATTTTAATCACTCTTCAGATCCACAGTTTAATTTTAAGGTTGTATATGCGATTCATTCAAACCCATCTAGATTTCTTCGTATCTAACTCCTAAAATACCCGAAGCTCTTACCGTCCATGAGCTCAAACCAGAACTATGCGTACAAAAGAAGTACGTCCTGTAGTTATCGCTACCCTGGCCTTATTCTATTATTATTATTATTATTATTACTGCATTTACCTCTTTACTTATGTTTCATATTCTCATTACTTTATTCATAACTGCTCATGATATCAAGTCATTTATTTTGCGCCTCTATTACCTTTAATTACATACAATTATTACAACAAAAACATTTTAATCACTTTACTACATTCACGTTATAATGCATTACTAACTTATTAAGTCTATTGTTATTATTCATATTACACAATCTAGTATTATAATCTTTCTATGACACCACCTCGGTTATTCCTTGTTCACATTTCCTCACGGAATTAATACTTTAACAAAAATTATATTCAGAGAGGGGTTTTGTGAATATTATAGTAAATTAATAGTTGAATTCGTGATTCATTCTAAGCTATACCACCATGGGAAACCTGAGAGCACTGGACGCCCGTTTCGCCCTACTGTGAGACTCCTCAGCAGTGCCCATCCACGATTCCACCCATGAGATTCGGACCGGGGATCTATCGATCTCTCACGCGAACGCTTACATACGATTGTACAGCTTGAAAAGAGATCCTTTCTCTGAGCTTCATGTTTCTTAATTATTTTAATATTCGTTATGGATGATGAAGGCTATTAGCATGAAATTATAATTTAATTTAATCTAACCGTAAAATTTCTAAAAATGTATTTTCAAAACTTAAGTTTCTAATTTATCCAAATAATAATACTACTACTAACAATTTATAAGTAGTAAAAAGCAAATAATCAACAAAATAAAAACAACCGGAAATTTTCAACGATTGACTTGTCTTTAAAAAGGAAGTGACTGTTCATATTATAATTTAGAATGCATTACCACTTTCTCTAAGATTGATAATTAGAAGAAATAGAAAATTAGAAAAAAATTACTTTACATGTGAAAGAAACAAAACCCAGATAGTTAGTGTGTGTGTGTGTGTGGGTGAGCGTTTGTCTGTGAATATTGAATGGGTAAAAAATTGTTCAGAAGGTAACATTGTAATCCTTTAATTAATGAAACAAGTTCTCTTTTTTATAATGAATTAAAAGTGAAATGATCACTTCACTAGATTATTTACTTATTCATTTGAATTGATTGATAGAGAATGCAAAAGAATTATGTTAATAGCAATACTATACTACTAATATTAAACACAAGTTTAAGTAAAGGAAATGGGAATTTATTTTCTAGACATCTAGACGATTATTTTGTACGTGTGCAACTTTTTCATACGCATATATATATATATATATATATACTTACATACACTGA